TACTCTTAGGACATCACAAACTAATTTTTTCATGAATATGACTTAACCTGATGGCTCAGTCATTCAGGCAGTGTCTCTCTCTCTCTCTCTCTCTCTCTCTCTCTCTCTCTCTCTCTCGCGCGCTGTTTAGGCATGTTTTCTGCTGTTGATCGTTGTCATCATCCTTAATAAATAAAACATTTATTCATGCTTGGATGTCGGCGGTGAATCCAGTCGAGAGAAATCCCCCACCACTAACTGCAAACTGGCATTCAGATCTGCCACCATTTTGTTTGCAACGACCCACCTTCCAACGATCCAATCAATTCCTGAAGGACGAAATCATTTCAGATGCCATTTCACTTGGATATACGTCACAATAAAGAAAAAAAAACAATCGGAACTTCCGTTTCATGCTGACTTTAAATGTATATTCTGAGAAAATTACAATGTTTTCTGGCCTTAGATGCATTTAAACCTGTTGTAAGGGACTCCAACACAATATTAGGACACTTTAAAATACCATATGACCTGCTCTTTAAAGGGAATATCGGATGCAAAATTCACTTTTACATGGTGTTTGCATATAAATGTGTCTTAGCAGTGTGTGGACACAACCACCCTACAATGATAAAAATCCATTCACTACTTTTTTTTTTAATCACCAAAAAACCTAAACAGTCTCAATAATCAAGCCGTTTTGATTTTCTGAGCAACATGACGTCATATTGCCTAGGCCCTGCCCACGACCGCTGACGGACTGTCCCGTATTTACATATTTCCGCACTCAACAATGACTCGTAAGCAATGCAGGTGTTTTGTAGTTGGATAGAAAAGTGAACATAAGAGTCTTAATTTTCTCCCAACATCAGAGCCATTGAGGACGCAGTGGATTAGTTTTGTTTTTGATGGTAATGCGCCAATGAATACACCTAAATTATTTTTCATGAAGACCCTAAAGAATCATACCAACTTGCGGAAAATGGGCATCCGATGTCCCCTTTAAACAATATTTTAGTCTGGCTGAATGTTACATTCACAATCAAATAAGGGGTTAAATGTGAGTTAAGTCATATAATTAACATCACAATCAATCAAGACTACATTTTCAGATGACTGCCAACCCAGTACTAACCATAACTAATTGTAGAGTACTATACATAAAACATATTTTATATAAAAAATATATACCTAAAAGAGATGGATGAAGCATGTTTCTTACCTTTCCTGGCCCGAGAGAAAAGTTTGATGCTGACAGGAGATGTGGAGGGATTTGTGGAGTCTTTAGAGGACGAGCGAAAGATTCCGGTGAAGCTGCGGCGACGTGAACACTTGGGCGAGGAGTCGTGGTTGGAGGAGTATGGGAAGATGGGTTTGGGCGATTCAGGGCTGTTTCTGAATCGGGCCGGTGCGGACATGGGGCTAGAGGGCCGACTAAACGTACCCCGGCTGAAGAAGGTTTTGGTCGGGCTGGCTGAATGGCAGCTAAGCTCCCCCTGGAGAGTAAATCCAATCACACACAATATTAGGACAACAGCTATTTCCTGAAGAAAATGTGTCCGTAACACAACTAATAAAAGTCATACGCACAGTCGAATCAATGAAACAGTGCACTTTCAAGCATACTGAGAGAAATATGGACCCTTGAGATTTTAAATCACAGAGCAATGACAGAAATTGTTTGCATGCCAACAAAATCATCAGTGAATGGCATTCTCATGCAGATTAAGCATATTTCCTGTTACTGTAATGTTATGCTGACCATTGATGGCATGTTTGAAGGACATGGACAGACAGACATTGAGATACTGAATGAATAGACGTCATAACATTCATATAAATTGTAAGTCCTTGATGTTTCCACCGTTCAATCACATGGGAATTTCACACAGTAAAACAGCCAGACAACGCCACTGAAAACTGTTTAGACAGCCAAAAGAGCAGATGGCCTCGTTTTTGTCAAGAGGCTTTTGTTAAAACAGAGTGGCATAAATACCTCACTGTACTATATACCTACACACGCTACATAACTACCCCCATCTCGCTCACTCGCTTGCTCTCAGAATACACCAAGCTAGTTCAAAATATTAATACAAATTTGTTTATGAATACTGCTATAGAATAAACACTGTTCATGTTGTTCCAAACCTGTATGCATTCTTCTGTCAAACACAATTTCTAAAGAACATCCTGGCCACTGTTGTCAATATAATGAAAGTAAATGAGGAGTGGGACTGTCAAGCTCCGAAAATGACCAAAAAGCACCATCAAAGTGTTATAAAATACAACTCTTGCACTATATTTCAAGTCTTTTGAAGTCACATGACAGCTTTGTGTGAGGAAAAGACATTGAGATCCACACTAGTCCTTCTTGGTATGTTCATGAGAAAAAGTAGTGATGTGAATAAATGGAGTCAGTTCACAGCATTAGTCTAAATGATTCATTTACAAATCAGACTGATCTAGTTCTTAAGTTCAGTTTAATGATGCATTGCAGTGGAAGGAACGATATTCAGCAAATAACAATCTCATTTTGGGTCTGTTCCTTATACAAAACCTGTCAAATGTTTTCAGAAGACTTGGAATATAGCACACAATCATATGAAATGAAACTTTCATTTTTTTTTACAACAACAACAAAAAAGAACGTCTTATGAGTTTGGATCGACATGAAGGGAAGTAAATGATGGAAGAATTTTCATTTTTATTTGAACTATCCCCTTAAAATTCTTAAAAGACTAAGATGAAAGAAAACCTTTCTTTTTTGGACTAAACCAAACGACATGCGTTTTTTCCCCCCTCGGTTGTCTTGGAAACATTTGACCGTTTCTGTGTTGAAGAGCTGATGGAAAAAAGTCTTCACTGACAATGAGTTTTCACGGTCCTGAACCTTTGATCGTGAGATAAGTGAAACATACTAACTTAGCAATTTACAACCTTTAAATTCACACTACCCTTATTTTGGTTCCGATCCAGAATCTTAGCCATTCCTGTTGCAAACCTTTGAGCAACACTAGGTTAATGCATACCATTTGCATACAAATGTTCATCCACACTGGTGATTCTGCATTGACCTTGCCGTGGGTTAATAAAACATCTGTTCAACAAGGAGAAATATTAGCCAATATCCTGAATGCTAGCAACAAAAACATTGGCAAAGCAGTGAAGTGGATCAGATTACATCTGATCATAAAATGTATACTCCAAAACATCCTAAAGCATCAAAACAGCCCTTCAGATTCAGTGACTCCAACTCACCAAAACACAAAAACACCACCCTGACAGCTATCAGATTCATCTCTTCTCTAGCCTTGCCTTGCTGGCCTCTATGGGCGATTGGTCGTCAGATATGATGATTTCCCAGAATTCCTTGGGAATGTTTACAAAGGTAACAAGAGCAGATCCTGAGTTACTAAGCAAAATGAGTTAGCACCGAAAACTATTTGGACAAATATGCTACACTTCATTTCTGAAAGCATGAACAAAATATCAAACCAAATGGCATCTGCAAACAATTATGTTAAAAGTTTGGGTCAGTCAGATTTTTATTTATTTATTTAATGAAATTAATGCTTTTATTAAGCAAGAAGAATGACATAAAATTGACAGTAAAGACATTTGTTACAAAATATTTCTATTTAAAATAAGGCAGCGGCTATTTACACTAAGTGGTGATAGCTATTAGATGCTATTTACACTAAGTGCAAATAGTAATGTATTCTATTTACACTATGTTAAAATAGCAGGATTTTCTGCTATTTATACTACTTATTGCAAATAGTGGCAATTATCTGCACCTCAGTATTATAGTGCATTTTAAAACAGTATGCAGTAATAACGTATTGCGTGTAAATTATCATTTTAATTCAAATTATTAAATGGATGCCACCTTATTGGGACAATAAAGCCCTCCCTACACCTACCCTAACCAATACTTTATTTTCAACTTTTTGATTATTTCCTTAATTTTTATTGAAAATAAATGCCTTTCCGATGTGATATGAGATTTGAAAAGGCGGATTCGAACCCGGGTCGATCGCATCAAAAAGACGATGGTACGCGTTTTACCATCTACGCCACTGACGCCGATGATAGTCGACTATCATGCGTTGTGGGTGGAGCTAGTGTAAATAGCCTCTGCCAACAAGGCGGGCTATATGGACTTAGTGTAAATAGACACTCCGTTAAAATAAATACTGCTCTTTTGAACTTTCTATTCATCATAGAATCCTGTATGACACTTCTCACCGGAAAGTAAGCAGCACAGCTGTGTTTAATTGTAAACCAAATGAGAGGTCGGTACAGGCGAAAAGAACCATGATAGACAATTACAAATCAGGTTATTAGAGCAGACTCATCCCATCAGAATGACAGCAGAGACTGAGGAAATTGAGGATATGGCAGCTTTCAGACTGCCGACACAAATGGAATGAATCTGCATTTTACACAGCTATTCGCATTTCAACAACCCTTTGTGTTTGAATTACCAGATCATACATATAGCAGTTCAGTATAATACTGATCTACAAAGGCAAACATGCAAATTTTGATTGATTTGATCAGCAGCACCTTCACTTTCCCCGTTCTCAGAACTTTGGATAATGTTTTAGCCAGGTTCTCTAAAAGTTATAAACAAATGTTTTATAGAATGTTTGTTCAAAGTTATCTGGTGTTTAATAACGTTCTTAAAACAGCAGCATGTACACCATTCATGGAATGTTTTTTTTCTGAAACGTTTTGAAAGTTATTATTTGTTTTAGAATGTTCAGACGTAATGCTTCCATAATGTTTGCAAAATGTTCAAATGGAATGTTTTCTTTGTGTCCGCATAACCAAGATTTTTTTTAAACGTAAAAAAACCTGGATATTTTTAACATTCAGAGAACTTCAGAGAGAAAAAAACATTTTCATAACTTAATGGCAATGTTAGCTTTCAGTCATAACTAAAGTTTAGTCATGACAACTCTCGGAAGATTTAACATGGTGATGGATATGACAATGTTAATGTATTTGGTGTAGTAAATGTATTTTTAATACATACTGCTGCTGCACAAATAGCATATCTATACAGGTGGAGCTGGGGAAGGTGGAGGGTTTCAGAGAACTCTGAAAGCACGCTGCAGGAATCTCAAGTGAATGCTAGCCAGCCATATAAATGCAAGGCAGTAAGCTCATTGGCTGCATATGCAGCATGAACCAATCAGCTTGTGCCAAGTCGTTTAACTCTCTGAATATCATCGGTTACGTTAACAACCAGTCGCCTACGCCATCTAGAGTTTCATGACTGAACTATATATTTTAACTAAATGTGTAGTTATAACGTTTTGCCTTTAGGGGGCGGAATATACATCACAGGGCCAGTGATGTCATAGTGATGACTAAGGAAATTGCATAATTCAAACAAACCAATTAAATGTGGGATATACACATTCTTTGGAAGGATGTGCAATTGTCAAGTGTTTTAAAATGACTTTTTGAAGCAATTTTGGATTCATTTCTTACTCATTTAAAACAACATGACACTACATTGGAGAACCGAAAACCACTTATTTAACTAGGCTATAATACCAATAAACACATCACTCACCAAAACATACTCTAATACATTTTTCACAACATAAATAATTTTCAAATCTGAATAAAAATCGGCACAGCCTTGTGTGTGTTTAGGTTGTGTTACCTTGCACTCGCCGTCCTTGTTCGCATGTTCCACATCTCCTTCCAGAAACGACATGGCTAAGGAGCTCAAGTCCTGTGGGGATCAAACAAACAAAATGATTGAGCTCATTAAAAATCACTTTTATGACTGCGGCACCTCTCATTTACTCCATAACAACACCATAATGAACAATTCACTGATCTACTGTGGATCAAAGGTTAAGCTCTACAGTACCCAAAAATCACAAGGAATTATACAAATAACAGGCAGAGAAGAAAGAGTATAAACGGTTTAGACAGTTTAACAGAAGCACATCACATATGACAGATGAACACTCGGTGGGTGATCCGTCTAACCTGTACAAAACCACATGCGCAGCCAGTAATACACAAACAATTTGGAAGAACTCACAGCAGATCCAAAACATCTCCACTGTGCTCCTTCTCAAAAATCCAACAACTTTTATCAACATCAGTCACTTCAGTAGCTTCGTCCCTGCTTCTTTCGGACAACACATCATCACCGCCATGCAATGACAACTAAAAACATACACAGCCTCTGTCATCTAAACCGGTTTTTAAAGTAACATGATCTCATGTGAACCCCTGCAATATTTTCCCGGTCTGTGCAAATGTATGTGAAACCTGTAATGCACAGATTAAATCAGGTATCACTTAACCTCACAATAGACTCCCCCTGTTGGACATCGGACAATGATTTCCAGAGAATTCCAAAGGGATCAACAAGCGTTTGTTCTATGAAATAAGTCATTTTACCAGGCCAACAAGTCTTAAAACAATGACGGATTGCACGGGGGTTGAAATAAGATATATGTGACCCTGGACCACAAAACCAGTGTTAAGTCGCTGGGGTATATTTGTAGCAATAGCCAAAAAAACATTGTATCGGTCAAAATTATAGATTTTTCTTTTGTGCCAAAAATAATTTGGATATTAAGTAAAGATCATGTTCCATGAAGATATTGTGTAAATTACCCACCGTAAATATATCAAAACTTAATTTTTGATTAGTAATATGCATTGCTAAGAACTTCATTTGGACAAATTTAAAGGCAATTTTCTCAGTATTTAGATTTTTTTGCACCCTCAGATTTCAGATGTTCAAATAGTTGTATCTCGGCCAAATATTGTCCTATCCTAACAAACATTCCCTGTTAGCTGGGATAATTCTAGAACAACATTAAAAACATTTTCACAGCTAAACAAAGAAACTTAGCACAGGACAGCAGCTTGCACACTTACACAGGTTCTTCAATTCTTCATCCATTTAGCTGCTGTTTCACAGAATCTTTCACCTACACGGACTAGTACCTAAACTCACTTTGGCAGTAACCTAAAGCTCACTAAAATGCTCAGAAGCTGTAAATGTGATGCAGTGACATTTTAAACAACAGCAGAGGCTTTGCACAAACCACGGAGTCACTGAAGTGCATTAACTTCATCCTCATTACACAATTCACTTTTGTAGCTACACAGAGGACGTGATTGTTTAGCGGTCACTCCATATATCTGAGATGTATCTGAACCAAGCAGTTTAAAAACCCTTGCTGGCCTGACCTGTTACCCAGTACACAGAGAATTACTGTAACCGGTGACACATTAAAAAGCACTGCTGTTACTGAAAGTCTTCTAATACACTTTTCTTATACATCCATTTACTTACTGAAATCAACACTATATAGGCATTAGTGGTCAACTGATAAGGGTTTTTCTATGGTTGATGCCATAGAAAGTGGGGTGGAAGATGGCTGACAAACTGAACATTTCAAATAAAGGTCCATTAATGACGTTTGCAGTCATCTAATGCATCTTTAAAAATAATTTAATAGACCTGTTAACTGTTATTTTTAGCCAATCTCAATATTAATATCCATTTTTCATAGTGTATATTATAATATTGTGATGCCTGAATTCACTTGTAATATTTAAGATGACAGAATCTACTAATTTAGACAAAATGTAGAATTTTAATATTGCCCATAACATGAAAATAATTATCAGCAGCTTATCAGTATATTAATATTGGTGCATCCCTACTAATAAATATGATACATAACTATACACCTGCTTTACATTAAGGTTAAAAATATATTCAAATAAATCACCGAATATAGGAACAAAGGTGAATAAAATTTATTTATTTTTTTATTTGTTTATTTTTATTTTACACAAAAGAGTGTAGAATTGTAATATTGGTCATAACATGAAAATAATTATTGGTGTATCAGAATATTAATCAGTGCGTCCTTAATATTAGACTTGGTAATTTCAATACACCAGCTTCACATTAAATTATATAGGCCTACTCAACATATACTCATGCAAAACACACCAAATAGTATCAAAGCTGAATAAAACTGATAATTATGAAGAATATTATTAATTTAATAAGTGAATCATACAATTAATGTCAACCTCAGTCAATGATACCTTGAACCTTTCACGTTTCTCAATATTAGCACTACTTTTATTCCCATATTTGATGTAAATTGTTAATTTTTCTGACCATTTTAAAATCCAAAACTGGCTAATCGCTTTTAACATCCTTGTTAAATGTCTCCCTCATTACAACCATCCATTACGGCCTGACTCATGTTGCTCCTCAACATGCAAATCTTCTCTTGTCTCACAATGGGTCAGTCATATCCATGGTAACAAGATTGACTTTCAAAGCCTGAGACAGAGTAAAAGCCAAGAAAATTCAAACCCATCAGTTAGAATTCAAATCAACGTCCTTGAAAATGTTTCACAAGATTGTTTGATGATTAAAAGCAACATGAGAATCAGCAGTTACATAAACTGATTGATTTCAACAGCACGATCTGATAAAGTTGGCCAAATGTATTGTCAATTGCAACATGCCATTTACTGTACATCTGCCAACGTACAAACCAATCAACAATAAAAACACATTGTCCCTGTTACAGATCCGAGTCAGTTTCCTAGGAAAGAAGGACCACAGCCAAAGTAGAGAAGCCATCTGTCCTGTAGACGGGGAGCTCAAGGCACCCCGCCTCCATATCCTTGGAGCCCCAAGACCCGATTACAAGCCCATATTTGCAGGCTAGAGATCAAGAAAAAATATTACCTCTGCAAACAAGCACTGGAGAACGATCAAAGAAAAATAACACCCCCTCAGATTCACAGATTTCCAGCTGTAGCGGTCTTGTATTGAGATACCAGCATTCGGAAATCCAAGACGAATGCAGGGCTACTCCAAAGAGCAAGGACAGTCATAACTCACTGATATGATACAGCACCTCCCTTCAGTAACATGGAGGTCAATGGGGCAGGTCTGGGGATTTGTGTGTGTATACCTAAATAAACTTAAATACAGGAAGGTAACAAGCTGGCTTGCAGCTCTGTCTGTTTGTCTATGGATAAACAGAGAAAAATACAGCGCAGGTAATGACTGAGGGAGAGATTCAGCCTTGTGGAGGTTCGCCAGTCATTTTGAAATGTGACAATCATCATAAAATTGCATCAGGCATGTCCAAGGCAACCACTCAGCATCTCACTGTTGCCATGAGTCACAAAAGACACAATGTAACAGCATATGAGAATCACAGCCACAAAATACAAGCGCTTGTGATGCTGAAGCTCGTTTGGTAGTGTTTAAACTGACAGCAGGTTGATTTGACTTTTCCAAAAAACACTCATTTTTTACCTTCTCATGTCAGCAATTTCTGGGGCGCTGCAAAGGTCAAAGGGCACAGCAAAGGATCATAATTCAACCAAGGACACAAATGGTCTCAAAAATGTGAAAAAGGAGTACACTTTAGCTTTTAGCATAAAAGAGCTCTTATTATATTATACTTTAATATAAATAGTATACTCTAAAAGAATATATTTAAGTGCAAACTGAATGTTTTCAGAAGCTTTATTTGATATTATTTACAATTAAATGAATATAGGAACACCAAATATAGGAAGAAAGCAAAGCTGAATACAATTTATTTTATTTTAGACAAAAGAATGTAGAATTATAATATTGGGCATAACATAGAAATAATTATCAGCCTATCAGAATATTATTATTGGTGCATCCCTACTAATACATATAGTAATTACAATAAACCTGCACATTAAGGTTAAAAATATATACTCAAGCAAAACACACTGAATATAGTAACAAAGCTGAATAAACTTGATCATTTTAACTTAAGTGCAAACTGAATGTTTTCAGAAGCTTTATTTGATATTATTTACAATTAAATGAATATAGGAACACCAAATATAGGAAGAAAGCAAAGCTGAATACAATTTATTTTATTTTAGACAAAAGAATGTAGAATTATAATATTGGGCATAACATAGAAATAATTATCAGCCTATCAGAATATTATTATTGGTGCATCCCTACTAATACATATAGTAATTACAATAAACCTGCACATTAAGGTTAAAAATATATACTCAAGCAAAACACACTGAATATAGTAACAAAGCTGAATAAACTTGATCATTTTAACTTAAGTGCAAACTGAATGTTTTCAGACGCTTACTTTGATATTATTTACAATTAAATGAAAAAGTGTTTGTTTAAATATTAAATGCAATTAGTTGATTTGAAGAATGCTTTTTGACCCACGTAAGTAGGACTTTAGTACTTTATATGTAATTTTATTTCATAATTCTATTGTCTTTGAGTGAATTGTCGAATATAGCAAGGGTTGCCAGGTTTT